GCAAATAGCTGCTTCCTTCCTTCCCTGGTCTGAGCTGCTCGATTTTGAGTGTTCTCATTACCCGCCAGGTTCTGTATAGAAATCCAGTATGTCAGAGACAGAATCCACACGTCTACCTAAGCGAGGAATGACAGTAGGAAGTAAAATGAATGTTCTTAACTGCAAAAATCAAAGCTGCTAAGTTCAGCTTTGGGTGAACTTCTATAGTTTTGATTCGTGGTAAAGGGTAAACAGTTTCCCCACCCTGTTGAGAGAGAATTCGAGGAATGTCTATAGATTCCATAGCTACAGGAGAGAAAAAAAAGGTATAGTGTTACACTGCATAAACACAGTTTCCAAACCAAATCATGTGAATTGTTCCTAAATTGGGTAGGAAAAGATATTTCCTCGTCTGTGGATCCACTTCAAGAGACAGCAGACTTACCGGCAGGCTCAAAAAAGTTAGTTTGTGTCGAAGGCCTGTTAGGATTTATAATAACCCGTGTCTTCCACACTTGAAGAGATCCATCCTTGGACACAGTGACAAGTACACGCAACATAGGAAGCCAAGAAATTGAAGTGATGGGTTGCGAACCCACTTGCGTACTGCGGTGATACCAAAAAAAAAAAAAAAAGCAAACAGGAATGAATTAGTATGAGAAACTAGAGCTAGAAATCCCATGCCAGCTTACAGAAAGCTAAAAGCACGAAATTAACTTACATTCCAATCATATTAGGTCTTTCAGTTGAAACATCCCATGCCAAAAGTGTACCCCTCCTATCTCCAACAAATATCCATTCTAGTGTCGGATGAAAAGCAAACGCACTGGCACCGATGAGTTTAATAGTATTATCAACTGCAAGGATAACAAAGACCTGTCGTAAGTGGTAGTTAAAGCTCATGATAACCAAAGCGAGAAGAACAACGACAATGAGAAAAATGTGAGATTCTCCTATACTCACGTTGTAGTGTATAATGAACAGCGTAAGTATGAATGTTATACGCTCGTATCAATCCCTCTGCATATGCTACGTACTGAAAAGACAAAACAATGAACAAAGAGATTAAGAATGTGTACCAGCTTAACTAGATTCCACATACTAAGATGGAGAAATGAGGATGTTGTACCATACCAATACAGGAAGACGAGGATGGCAAGCAATGTTCACAATAGGTTTCTTCAAGTCCGTCTTAATTTTTGTTGGAGCTCTTCCACCTTCAACAGTTCCAACGACTACAGCAAAGAACAACTAAAGGCCATCAGAAAGTAAACATTAACACCAAAGTTTTGCAAATATATGAGTAACTCGGAAACCAATAATCTAACCTGTCACACTCATTCTTTTTGGGAATCCAAAAAACACAACAGGTTGCAGTGGCGTCACTGCAAGATGAACTTCTGTATCAGAGGAAATGTGCTCACTCCTCTTCTCAGGTGAGTGCAAGACGCAAGTCTGCTCCGTTTCGAAATCACAAGACCTAATTGTACAGTCCTCAAGAATGGCGACCACGGCATTGCTGCTAGTGGGACTATACAGCATTCTAACAGCTGGAGATCCAATATCGATAGACGCGATCTTACATCCCGTTAATGCGTCAAATTCTGCAACCAAATAGGTTTTCAACATCGAAACAATCAACAACTACGAAATTAAATAATGTTCATAGGCGAAATTCAGCGAAGTTAGAAAAAAAAAAGCAAATGGAATCAAAATTCGCTGAATGTGGAACCAACGGTGCTAAATGGCGGAGATTGGTTTACCCATGATGTGAGAGCCGACGGCGACAGCGATTACGGCCTGCGTCGGATGAAACGCCGCCGTGTGAGGCTGAAGCGGCTTGCTGACACCGCGACCTACGTGGCGCAGATCGAGATGCTGCACCGTTGCCCACTCCATAACTGCTCTCTCTCTCTCTTTTTTTTTCCTGAAAGACAAAAGTCCATTTTCCTCATCTTGCAAACATACGAACAATTACGATCCACAACCCCAGATCGATTAGAGAGAAAGAGATAGAGCTCGTAACAAGATTTACTGATCTGAAATTCAAAAAAAAAAAAAGGGAAATTCGCCGATAGCTTGCTACTCTTCGTTTTTGCTTTACCTGCTCGTAGATCCGCGTGAGGTTATGAGTTCATGAATTTGCTTCAAATCCGAATGCTGAGCATACGAAGGTTTTAAGAAACAGAGTGAGATCGAACGGGAAGATTAACCAGTCCGTAAAAGGTCGAGGAAGAAGAAGAACATCGAACCGAAATGTCAAAAATGTGGGTCGGGTTTTCTGGATCTCTCTTCTCCGGGTCGGATCTTTCGGGTTTTTCTTTATGCTGTGTCTGATTCCTAAACTATGTCGTTTTTAATCATTTCGAGCTAAAATAAGTCATGGGCTTTGTACAGTTAATAAATGGGTTTATATGGGCTTTACTAAGTCTATACCTATTTTGTTTGTTAATCAGTACATATGGACTTATTTTATTTTTGTTTAAATGTTAAATCAATGTTGTCATGGTTATCCAGGATATTTAGTCAAATAACTGAAATCTATATTCTTTTTATTTATTTTGGTGTTCGTTAGGAATATTCATTTTGATATTTCAAGAGATAATATTCACTTAATTTTGGTTAGAGATAACAACAGTTAAGAGATACGGATATTTATGTTCGTTATATCTCTAACCTTAAAAATAATAATAAGAGAGCTAAAATCCTGCTATATGTATATGTATATATATATAACCCGATCAAGTCGTGCATGCAAATTCTTTATACACTAGATCACAAATCTTCTTCACTTTTTGTTTTCCCCCACATAAACCATGAGAATCTCCATTGTCCTCGTGGCAGCAGCTTTCCTCTGCCTCGTCGCTTTTCCGACCACAACCGTCGGCAAAAACCCGAGATTATTCTGGCCGAAACCTACCGAAGGATGGCCAAGTCCGGTGGAAGTATCCAGATTCGAGTCGTTTACGAGCACTTCCCGTAAATTCAACTATGGAGATTCCAAAGTCTGGAAATGTACTTATAGCAACGGATCTGCTCCAGCCATCTCTATTTCTCCGTCTATTCCGTTTACTCCGTCTCCGGTAACACCGTCTCCTTCGCCTCCCACTCCCAAAACGTCTCCTCCGCCTCCAACTCCTAAAAAATCTCCACCGCCGTCATCGCCGTCTCTTCCGCCTCCAACTCCCAAGAAGTCTCCGCCTCCAACTCCCAAGAAATCTCCATCGCCTCCGCCGGCATCTCCATCGCCTCCGCCTCCAGCTCCCAAGAAGTCTCCATCTCCTGCGCCGTCATCGCCATCTCTTCCGCCTCCAACTCCCAAGAAGCCTCCATCTCCTCCACGGCCAACACCGTCTCTTCCGCCTCCGTCTCCTCCGCCGCCAAGTGGTGATGTGTCATCATCTCCAAGTCAGCCATTTAATCCACATCCGGAGCATCATCACAGTCATCATCACCAGAGTCGATGGGAACACTTTGGGAGTTGCATGAGCAACATGGGACCTGTTGGGGTGTGTCGTGGGCAGATGGAGTTCAGTTTCTTCACCAAGATGTTTCAAGTCAGTGACTATTGTTGCAATCTTATTGTCAACATGAAGAATGAATGTGACGATGTCCTTTGGGGATACTTCAATGATCCTTTCTTTGTTCCTCTTGTTCGTTGCACTTGTCACGTTACCTACTAATTTTTTTGTTTCTTGATTAGGACTTTTTCTTTAATGGTTTTTTCTTTAATTGTTTGGGTATCGTTTAGTCATGCAATGTCGTTGTCGTCTAAATCTCATGGACGCCTCTTTTGTTATAAGTACGTTTTAATTGATGAATAAGATGGTTTTTCTTTATTTTCTTTCTAGTTTGTTCTGTGTTGGCAGTACAGAATGAAAAAAAATAATTACCAATATTTTAAATCGCATTCGGTTTACGTGAGATCAAATCAATAATTTGTTTGGACTTGAAAAGATCGTTAGGAAAGAAAACTGTTGTATGATCATATCGATTCCGGTGCAATCTCTCGTTCGTTACTTATAGCCGTATATAAATTATTATTTTGGTATTTAATTACATTAATTCTCCATTCGAAAAGAATGCGATGATCCAGTTGGATCTAATCCAATATTCGGGGAAGGAATAATTAAGAACATGGAATGGATCTTTAACAAAAAAAAAAGAACATGGAATGGATCGAAGGGAATGTTTCTTTTCATTGTTATTCTTGACAGTGCTTTTATTTTTTGAAACAATTTATTTTTTTGTCAAAATGTTTCAATTATTATTGACAAAAAAAATTGTATCAAAAAAATAAAAACATATTGTAGTACAACTTAACTGAGAGAATCAACTATTAGTTACTTGTTGGATAACTTCTTTTTTAACTTGTTAGTGTGCGGGGAAAAATTTGCTTGTTTGTTAACATAATGATAACAGCTAAACTTCTCACTTGTTAATTAACTTATTTAACTTAACTGAAACTCTTATATTTATATATCCTCTAGTATATACTTAAAAGTATACTTTAGTCCAATAATATAGGATATTTACTATATTTAGTTTTTAACAACTTTTAGCCTGAATATCTTTATTTTTTTTCCTGTAACAAACACATAAATATACACGACGTTCTGTTAAATGATTGATAAAATGACGTTCTTCTCGTCAATATCTCTACGTATATCAAAAACATATTCAATATATTCTCATCATTTTTTTTTTTATCGTTCAGAGTTTTTCTTCGTTAAAAATATTTAACTCTAGTAGATAATAACAATGTAAAATTCAATCGACGTGATTTTAAAATATATTATTAATTTGTTACTTTTACTCGATAATAGGTGCAACAAATCAGTTCTGTATAGATAGCTACGAAGATATTCGTATCATATATATGAAAATTCCATCATCTTCATCATCTTTTTATTATTATAAAAATAAAACAATAAAAGTTCTATATAAACGGATCCATTCTCTCTCGTTTTTTTGTTTTATACACTTAGAGATATATTCTTTGTTTTCTCATCGCCTAAACCATGATGAAGAGCGTCATCCTCATCGTAGCTCTCCTATGCCTCGTCTCTCTCCCACATCCAACCATCGGATTACAAAAGAAACCGTGGCCTAAGCCGTCCGATCTAGCCAACCACAATGGCAACCTCGGTGACTCTAAGGTTGGTTGGGCTTGCTCCTCCTCCGGTGACTCTAACGGTCCTCCTTCACCCCCTGGCTCCTTCCCTAACATCCCCAACATCCCGGGATTTCCACAAATTCCCGGGATACCAAATATTCCACAAATTCCCGGGATCCCGGGAATCCCTGGGATACCAAATATCCCACAAATACCAGGAATACCGAACATCCCGGGACTTCCCAACATTCCGGGACTTCCAGGCCCGTTCGAGTCTGTTCTCGTGTCTCAACCCGGTGAGTTAGAGAAGTGTTTGAACGGAGGTAAGTCGAAGGTGGCGGAGAAATGTTTCTCGCAGGTGTTTTCGAGTTGGGCAGAGAATGATTTCGCTTTGGACAAGGAGTGTTGTGAGATCGTCTTGAATATGGACAAGAAGTGTAACGGTCATCTTCACATGATGTTTAAGAGCCATTTCTTTACTCCTCTTCTTCAGTACTCATGTCACATCAAGCACGCCTAGAAGAGCTAACCGCATCTTTCTCACGCGCGCCTCTCTTCTGTTTGGATTTTCTTTTACTCTTTCTCTTAGTTTTCTGTTAGGGTTTTGTTTTGTTTTGTCCATTTCTCATGGATGTCACTTGATTTGTTCTTCCTTTAAATTAATAAAATACTAGTTTGTTTTTTTTTTTCATTAGTTTTCTCTGCACCTACAAATGTATTTCCATTGTTTCATTCGATATGTACTATAGGTTTCCTCTATGCCCAATGTCCCCCTCAATCCGTAAACTATATACTTTGATGCTTCGTAATTAATTCGGATTTTCAAGGTCAGAAAACAAACTATGGGCTATTATAAGGCTAAGAAGTTCTACAATAGGTTACAGGCCCTTGTGGGCTTTACCCTGGTCAATGGTGAGGTAGATTAAGATAGTAATTTTATTGGTTCCAAGCAACAACTTTAAGACTTCAGAGATAAAATAATATTCTGGTAATGACGGGTGAACTAAAAAATATTTGTGCAAGATAACGTGAATATCATTTTTTTTTTTTAATAAACGTGAATATCATGGTAAGAAAAGAAGGAATTAAATTTTAATCTTTTTTGTCATGGAAATTAACAAAGTTGTTTGTAGCTGAGAATATGCTAAACTGGCTGATGAGCATGAAAAGAATGACTGATATATATATCAAATCAATTTTCTTTTGTGAAAAACATTTTGTGGAAATGCAAGGAAGGAAAATTGCATGGATTTTAATTTGACTAGTGGGTAATATAGTTTGAATAGTATAGTTTTTAGAACAACGGATATAGTATAAATCAATTTAAATAATATTTTTATTTTATTTTTAGAATAGTTGGTATATTACACGAATAGAAACATATTAAAAATGAATCTGTTAATTCCATCCAACCACAGCTACTGACCAACTCCTTTTGGGACCTTTTGAATTAATGCTTGTAATTGATTTAATCCCCACACCTCAAAAGAACACGTAAACTGATAACAACAAATTAAGTTTTTGAAAAATATTGTTTTCTGGTGACGGTGCGATAGAAATCAGAAGAAAAATCATTTCCCCTTTCTTATTTATTTGAACTTATAAGAGCCATTTTTTTTAACGAGAATATGATGAGAATGACCAGACATTATGTTATTTTCATAAGGTTGTTCATAAATGGCTAAAGACTAAAGACGCAGATTTAGCACATAATGTTTCGTGGACGTGTGTTACGTAGGAACTGTAAATATGAACTTGACTAAAAGACTCTCGTCTAAAACAAAAACTAATTCTAGTTTCTTAAGAAGGTTTTAATATTTAAGAAATTTAAAATTAGTTCGAACCAAACTAGCAACTATATTAAAACCTAAGCGGCAACCAAAACCACGTACGGAGTAGAACCAAATCAATTCGCATTAGATTCAATTTCATATTATTGATTAGTACTATTTATTTAAACCAGACCAAAAATTTCACACCAAAATACTATAAACATATATGTGTCTGAGCTATTATATATGATATAGTCAGATATGTATACGTATATCGACTTTCAATTTAAGGTGATCGAAGGGACTTAAAGCTTAAAAGAGGATGGAGGAAAGATTGCAAAGATTAGACCAATCATGGAGGATAAGGGATACTCACTTCTCCATTTCTGGTCCCATATACTTAATGACTTAATATTGGTTATTTGTTGGTTTCTTATTGCCTTTCTTCACTTATATATATTTTCTCTAGTTTTCCCCTCCCATATCTGCAAGAATCTATCAACACAATCCGTGATCTTTGACAATTCACATTCACAACCCCATCCAATATAATATATATATATATATATATAATATAATGTGGTGAAATATCAGTTGTACCGATATAATCTTGATCGTTCTAAAAGCAAGAGTAATGTTAATATTATTGATAATTCAATAAATCTTAGAAGCATAAGACTTGAGCATAATTTGAAATATCAGTCGTAGCATATTTTTTTTGGTTTCTTATTGCTATCAGCGATCCCATTTATTTGGTGTGAAATGTTAACTTTAAGGGAATTCAACTAAATACATGTGCATGTTGTATGTATATCTTGACGAAACTTCGGTGAAATATGAAAGTGAAAGATACATGCATATGTTCTATTTGTATGTATATGTTAGATGTGCTGATGAGCTGTAGACAGAAGAGGAAAGGGGGCAACAATATCCAACTTGCAAGACAAAAATAAAAGCCAAATCTATATACAAAATCAAAAGTGGAAATAATATTATTCCCCATAAAGGAGAGCAAAATGGAGTCAGCATATTAAATAAATTGTTATCTTCTTCATAAAATATCTCTCTATATATACATATTTAAATGTGTATAAATTACTTCGTAAGACCATTTCAATGGAGGGGCTCATGTACAATGCTAGTTTCTTAGCATAATATTTTAACAAAAAAATTTAATAAAATAATAAAAAGTAAGAGAGAAAGAAGAATTGACTCTTAAACTTCTTGTTTAAGAAACTATTCTTAAGTTTTTAGGAAACTCATTTAATATGTATCATTTTATAATTAGTTTGAATTTTTTCATGATTTAAAAATTAATATAACTTTTATTAAGATACCATATTAAGATTCTTTAGCATTGTAAATGCTCTAATATTCTTAAAATATCGGTTTTACATCACAATGATAGGATAAAATTAATCATAGTCACATATTTTTAAAAACTATATGTAAACAGCGTATTACAATATACCACATAACTTAAAGTTTTTCTATGTTTTTCACAATCAAGTAGTTATGTAATGAAATCCAAATGGTTCCAGGATCCATTCTAAACCATTCACAACGACTAAATGCAAGAAAATGCATATACTGAAACTCGATCTATAACCTTGACCAATAGATAGAATCCTCAACCACTTAGTTCACAAAAGCCCGCCTTAGTCTTTTCGAAACATATTTGGACTATAACAAGTAAGAGCCAATTGCTACCGTTTCTTCCACATGACATGTCTCTTTGTCTATACGTTGTACACATCTATTTTTATATAGAACAAATATATCATATATATCACTATAGATAATATTAAATGAATAAAGGTACATATTGTTAAAATTGTGGCAAAGTGAAATTGTTTATTTTATTAACGTAGATGAATTTATTATATAGATGACAAAGAAAGGTGTCTATACGTGTGTGTGTATATAGTCCACAAGAATATTTCTCCCTCTTTCAAGCCTCAACACAATCTTATTAAATAGAGAAAGAAAGAGAGCTTAGAGATTGGCCTAGGTTAAGGGGGCAGCTTAGTTACGTCGACAACTTAAAAAATTAGTTATTATTTTTCTTTCTTTTTTTTCTGTTATTATCCACAGTTCAGAGAGAAGCTGATATAAAGCGAAGGTGAAGAATATATAAAAAAGTCATAAAGAATCGATGATGAGAAACGTAGGGAGCTCGAACTCCGGCGGTAAAGGCATAGCGGCAGTGGTCGGCGTCGGGCCAAAGCTTGGCCGCTCCGTCGCTCGTAAGTTCGCGCACGAAGGCTACACGGTCGCCATTCTCGCCCGCGATCTCGGTTTGATCCCATTTTCTCTTTCTTTTACTTTTTTAATTTTCTTTTTATCCATTTCTCTCCACCTATACATACACTTACACACTCTCGGTCTCGGATAAACTAGAAGATTTTCACATATATATATATATATATATATATATGTGTGTGTGCTCTTTCTTTTTATGTGCCCACGAAATTTTCCTTCTCTATTTATCCAAAGGTGATACAAAAATTGCGGCAGTTTTTCTTTTCAAAAGGAATATAAATTCAGAAAGATTTTCTGGCTAATGTTCTTACACACACACACACATATCTATCTATATGTCTGTCTAAATCTGCTTAATTTTATATGTTAATATTTTTCAGAAGGTGCATTTTAAAATTTGAATGTAAATTTTGTTATAAAGTTATCCGTTTTTTTTTTCTTTTTGTTCTCCATCAAAATTTTGGGTTCATGCACCAGTACATCACTATGGGTTTGACTAGTAAGACATAACAGAACAAATAATTTTCTAGCAGAGTCCAGCTTTTTAAGGACCAGTTGAGTGAAAAATAATTTAGATAAGCTGTTAGAAAAATATACAGTTAAGCTAAAATATTTTTTCACTTTCATTCTACATCCTCTTTGGTAAGGAAAACATTTAAGTACTGGTTTCGATTTAGACTTCAATAATTAATGGTTTTTTGTTCTCTCATACCTTCTAACTAACTATATTGCTTCTCTTATTTCATAAACTTATATTTATATAGTCACAAAACAATTCAGTATATATAAAGGGTCGGATAAATTGTGCAGGTAGGTTATCTAGAGTGGCAGAAGAGATTGCGAGAGAAGAGAAAGCGCAAGTGTTTGCTATAAGAATTGATTGTGCGGATCAAAGAAGCGTAAGAGAAGCCTTTGAAGGAGTATTGTCGTTAGGGTTCGTTGAGGTTTTGGTGTACAATGCTTATCATTCTTCTTCTTCTTACACAAGTCACCATCCAACTTCTTTCACCCACATTCCTTTCCAATCTTTTCAAACTTCTCTTGCTGTTTCTGTCTTCGCTGCATTCCTCTGCGCCCAACAGGTATACACATTTTTGTGTTTCTCAAATTTATTGAGATTATTGAAATATAACTTTCTGAATAAAACTAATTAATCCTTGTTCATAGCCAACTAAGGTAATTTAGTGGTTGAAGATTCGCCCTTATATTAGTCATGGCCGTGAAAACCTAGAACAGATGGTTTCATGATAGTACATGTATTTCGACCCATATATAATTTATCCAGTTATGAAAAAAAAAACACTTGTTAGTATTATTGGAGTCTTCAAATTCTATTAGACTTTTAATATTTTGGTCAATATCTTTTGTTTTTACTAATAAGATAATCTATCATTTGTTACTACTAGTTGCATGTATACGTAAATAATACAGTATATTCTTAAAGACTATTTTATTTTCCGTGAGTGATCGGTAGCCTGTAGTAGGTATATGTAAAATTGAGTTATTTTCGTCATTTTCAAAATTTTGTAAGAGTTAATCATTTGTTGATGTACTAGTTGTATATAATTTTATTTAAAAATACTATTTATTACTTTTTGCGATTAAGCTTTAGCCTGTAGGGTATATGTACTATTGAGTGATTTTGACATTTTGAAAATTTTGGTAAATTTAATCATTGTTTGATGTACTAGTACTTGTGTATAATTTATTTTAAAATACTGCTTTTATATTAATTATGTGATTAAGCCTCTTAGCCTGTAGGGTATATGTAATAGTGAGTGATCTCGACATTTTGATTTTTTTTGTAAAGAAAAATATTTGTTCATTTGATTTTATTTGTATAAATATGGTACCAAAAAGATCATCCCCGGGATGATGGAGAAAGGGAAAGGAACTATACTCTTCACCGGTTGCTCGGCGTCACTGAACGGCGTTGCTGGTTTCTCCGAACTTTGTAATTTTCTCAAAATGTTATAATATTTGTTATTGTCTTTTTTAAAAAATTGATTTAAATGTCACTAAAGAAATATTTGAAACTGGAACAGGCTGTGGGAAGTTTGCACTGAGAGCACTCTCTCAATGCTTAGCAAGAGAATATCAAGCTTTTGGGATACATGTGGCTCATGTTATCATCGACGGTGTGGTTGGACCTCCAAGGTATTTAATTACTCCTTCAGTTCTAAAATGTATGATGTTTTAGATGTTTTACAGATATTAAGAAAACAATGATTATTTACTTTTTAAAATATTTTTTATGTGTTTATTAATTTAATACTAATTTTTTATATTTTTTTATCTAAAAAATTGTCTTGAAAACAGAAATATATTAAATATAATGTAGAAAATTAATATTTGTGGAACAAAATAAAAAACTCAAAACATCATACAATATGGAACGGAGGGAATACATAATTATTTCCTTCCAATTATAAATATATATATATACACATCTTTAAATTATCTAATAAAACAGAAGATGAGATTAGAACCACAATATCTGTCCAAAAAGGTGTTTTTAACTTTTTTATACCTTCCACAACCGGCAAGATTCCAATCCAAACCGACAAGATTCTACCTCCGAAAATAATGAATTTATTTACAAAATATTATGTAACTTTATCACAAAAAAGTTTTAAATGATTCGAGACATTCACAGTACACATATCACATTCGTGATTCCATATCTTATTTATTTATTTATTATTGCAAATGGAAACCATATTCTTTGAATCCTTAGCTTATATTCATTCATTGTCTCGAAATTCACGGTCAAAGATGAAAAAAAGTGAAGAACTTTTAATAGTCCCCACATCACAACGGTCCACACTGTAAACACATTAAGCATTTGAGTACGTAACGAAAAGAAAATAGTATTAAAAAGATATAACTCTAACTAATCTCTGGAAAATTTGTTTCTTCAGAGAAATAAACATCCCACCAAGAGGAATGGTCGCAGAGCAATCATTCAACATTGGAAGCGAAGATGGAGAAGGAGAAGGCGAAAGCTCGGGAGTGATGGGAATGGATCCTGATGTATTGGCTCAAACATATTGGAGTCTTCATGTTCAAGACCGAAGAGCTTGGACTCACGAACTCGACATCCGACCATCAAACACAAGATTCTAGCACTTAAAATATGATTTGAGTTCAGTGTTCTTCTAGTCGTATGGTACGTATGCGTGATCATTTGATAAGTACGTATATTCTTGCATTTTGGAATGTAATTAAGTATTTTTAAAAAGGGTTGGTTTCTATGATTGGTGTGGATGATCTATCAATCTCATATCATAATAACCTTTTTGTTTTTTAGTTTGCGTGACTTGTGGGATGATGTTTGGTCTTGTCGGGTAAGGTTTTTAGTTTTTTCTTGTGGCGTTTAAGTATTAAAAGCGTACAAATGACTTCGTGCTTAAATTTAGGACACAAGAGAGGATCCGACAAGTCATGTGAATAGACATAGCTCTCATAAGATCCGATCACAAATATAAAAAAAAAGGGACCCCCTTAAAGTTTGAATAGAGGCAAATATCGTCCTTTAAGTGTTGTCACGTCGAGGAACTTCTCAGGGTCCATTCTTTTTTTACAGAAGAGAGTGAAACTTTTTGATATAATATCAATAAGTTTTGAATCAAGAACACACTGAGAGATTTGATCACACATTAATTTGAAGTAGCATTGTGTTTCTTTGTATTGCATGAATTAAGGAGTGAAAACTAAGCCACAAATAGTAGTAACATTAAAGAAGTTACAACTCTCTAATGAAGCTTATATAAGTGTGAAGAAAAACATAAATGTCCTTTGCGTAACAATTTTTTTGACATCTCTGGAATTACGTTTAAGATCATGTTTACGAACAGTAACATTATTATTACCTTAACAAGAGATGATCTTATAAGATAAGCTGCTTCTCTGCTCCTACTTTTTATCCTGAGAAGCCGGTAAAGATCACAAGAAGGATATTATATAACCGGAAAAATTTCTACAATAGACAGATACAGAAGCAAAAACATAAAAGCTGTTTCTCTTAGGACAATGCAACAACAAGAATAAGTGAAAAATGAAGAACATATATAGAAGAAGCAACAATGTCTAAAATACTCAGAAAATCTTTTTTTTCTACAAACTGTTTTTGTTCGGCTAATCGTTATTCGTAGGCGCTTTCTCTGCTACAAAACATGATTATTAATATAAGAAATGTTCATAAAGTTATCAATCTTGTTTGTTTCCGTAAACCAGATCTCATCCCAAAAAAAAAAAATGCTTTTGACTACTTTCACATTCCAGATTCAATGATTTACCCCAAAACTAAGCAAAATGTTTATCTATTAACGAATTGTTGTTATCTACAGAAATGAATATCTATTAATAAGTCGTTACATTGTAATAAATCCGTAGAAGCCTCAACAAGAAATTGATGCAAAGAACAAATGCAATATTCATAAACCCTAAATTGATAAACCTTTGAGCAGGCGAGTGACTTTATCTACAAGAGAGTCTTCCTCATTGTCGTCATCTTCTTCATCGTCGTCTTCGTCATCAAGATCTGAATCTGAATTCGAATCCGTGGAATCATTTTCGCTCCATTCGCTATCATCCCCACTGATCGAATAAATCAAGAAGCGATTAAAAAAATCACAGTTAATCGGGAAATAGATGGTCGCGAAAAATGTAAATACCTCAAACTTCGATCTACTTCTTCTTCTTCTTCATCATCTTCTTCCTCGTCTTCACTACTCTCGTCATCGATTTCATCGTCTTCTTCATCTTCTTCTTCGTCTTCTTCTTCTTCCTCCTCATCCGAGCTACATATATCGATGATCTCCTTCTCGTCCGCCATGTGAGATTCAAAAAGCAAACGGCTTTTGATTTTTTTTTTGTAGTAAACTTTAAAGATTGTCGGAGCCCCGAAACTCTCCAACTGGATCCGCTTTTCTGTAATTACAGTTGGATCCTTCCTTAAATAGATACTGTTGGAATAGATAAATGAATAAATATGACCCCAAAAAAGGAAGATTAATGAATAAATCACATGTCGATAACAAAAATAAAGAGTTTATAGCTACAAGGCTATTTGATTTTTGGGTTTGAATGTTTAAGCGATTGTTCTCTATCAATTACCGAAGAATCAATGAGCTTAATCAATAATTAAACTGAATGATTTCTTGTGTTGAGTGGATTAACTAGTATTCCAAACTCTCTGACATGTTTAAACTAATATCAAATATTATTTATATACTAATGTTGAATCATCTTTCATTTTAAACGTGGGATGTTCTAACAATACAGGCAACAACAAAAATTTCGTGGCTGTTATTTGTAAGTACTATAAGAAGATTCTAAACCAAGATAATGTGGACAATCATTTTTAATGAAGATGATTTCATTAATTTAAGATGAATATTAGTGCAATGAAGCACTTAGTTTAAGCAGATAACGTGGTGAATCTTTTTCAATGAAAATTACTTCACAAATTTAAGGTGAAGTAGTGCAAATTAATGTGATTAGATGACATTATATACGTAGTTATACGACTTTTTGGGTTTTTGGGTTCTTACTCAAGAATCATCATGCATTTTGGGTTCTTATTCTGGCTAGGTCTTGGACCAAACTTGTGGTTGTCTCCACACAGTGAAGACAATCACCAATACAGAAACAATCGTGCGTAGATGCGGTTAAATAATTATTATAAGAAATTAAGAAGTATGAAAAAAACAAGGTTATCATTTATCAAGTTAATCACAGTCTATAGCTAAAAAAAAGTGAAGGCAATAGCTAATAGAGAAACAATCGTAATAGAAAAACATTTGTGTCCGAAACCAAATCCAGAAGTAATGTCGGAAACAACATCAATCGTCATAAGTTACTAAGTTTGGAAAGATTTCCTCACCCTCTCTACAAACTAACACACACACTTTTAGCTACACTCTTTTTTTTTGTCTTCACAGCTTTTCATCACAAAAAGCCAAATGCCATTATAAATAATAATAACCCAATCAGCAAAAGTTCTTTGGTCCAAAGCTTCTTAGTAGATAAGAGATCTCAGACAAATCTCATACATGTTCGTAACTTTCTAAAAAAACCCTTCTAATGAGCTTTGATCGTGCGGCTAGAGACACCATGTAACAATTTCACAAAACCCAAGAAACTAAGCTTTCCATCGGTATGCCTAAGCCAATCGTGAAGCACTGCGTGAACCGGTACAGATGGACCAAGACCAAGTTCCTGAAACAATTTTAAACCGGTGGAGTTGGTTAGAGCATTTTCAAAGACTTGAAACAGAGGCATTGTGTAATGAAAAGACGAACCGAGGCGAGTTCATCGATCATGATGGGTCTGTTTCCTTCCTTTTCGAAAAGCTCATAAGCACAACGAGCGTGTTGTTCCCATCGATCAAGAGCTTCTAGCTGATGAACACTCAACGCCGCTGCACAGAACTCTTCAAAGTCCATTCTTCTATATTGAAGAGCACTCAACTATAGATAGATAAGTCCAGAAACAAAACAAAAAAAAAATGCAATTCCCAAGTCAAAACATTTGAGTGATTCAAACATTAATTTGCTCAATTTTAAGGCTCTTTTCTTACTTGTGCTAAGAATTCAGGTATACGCGAATCCTTCATTGCGTCTGTTGCCATTTTCATCAGTGCCTAACAAAGAGAGTTCGAGCCAGTGTCATGATAATTAACCAAATCACACCAAAAACTAGACTAAACTATACTAAAACACTTCGGAAGATAGAAAACTCACCGATTTGATGTTTTCTAGACTTATGGTTCCGTTCTTGCTAGGTTCTAATAAAGCAAACTGCTCCCTCAGATAAAACAATTCATCGACCGTAAGTGTTTTTGACAAGGCCTGCAAGAAAATGGTGAATGTTAAGCCAAAACAAGAAGCGACCATTTTTAAGTAGAAATACTGGGAAAAAAAAACTGATACACTCACCCTTAAAGCAGCTTTACGGAGAGACGATGATCGTAAATAAGCTCTCATAAGTTTGAAAACAAGAATATCCAACGGAACCTTGGCGTCATTTGAGTCCTTTATCCATGGATGACCTGAAACAATGGAAAAAGTTAAACAATCTTTCCACATTCAAACAGTATTTTGTATGCATTCGACAGTGTGCACTTACTTAGAGCTTGAGCAGCTGTTAATCTTTTACGCGGGTCTTTGTTAAGCAACCGCTTCACAAAATCTCTGGCCTCTGAAGATAACAAGGGCCAAGGAGGGTCGTCGAAACTCGGGTCTGCTTTTAGAACAGCACGAAAGATTCCTGATTCCGTCCTAGCCCAAAACGGTCTGCTTCCACACAATAGAATGTACACTATCACACCAACACTCCAGATATCGGCTTCTGTGCTGTAAGACCTATGTAGAACTTCAGGTGCTACGTAGTATGCACTGCCAACAATGTCGTTGAGCCTCTCATCTGCAAAATGGAAGTTTTCAAGAGTATATAAACAAAAAATGTTGGTCTCCAGATTCTGTAATCCAAACATAAATATGAGTGAGGGCTTTACCTGGTCTCACGTAATCTGACAAACCGAAATCTATTGCCTTCAGTTGAGAGGTGTCTTCTTTTGAGGTAAACAGAAAATTCTGTTCAGAAACAGTAAAACTTCAATAAGATTGCGATGATGAACATCAAATGTATAAGTAGAAAGTAAAGAGCTTTTTGTTGTCACCTCAGGTTTGAGATCTCTGTGTACAACACCTTGGAGATGACAAAACGCAACCACATTCAGGATTTGTATCATAACAGTCTTTGCATCCTCCTCCGTGTACTTCCCACCTCTGCACAGACAAGTTCAATATAAAACCGAACCCGAATGTACTAGAAAGAACAAATCCTACTTCTGAAATTGACCCTTTTACCTTGAAAGTATTCTATCTAAAAGCTCTCCTCCTTCACATAGCCTGAAACCAACAAAGATAAAACCAAAAAAACACTTTGTTAAGCCTCTCCAATGCTGATTTTTGGATTGGAATTAAAGTCTCTTGAGCAAAAAGAGAGCTTACTCCATCACTATATAGACATTATCATGATCCTCGTACGCATCGTAGAAATGAGGAAGGTTGTTGTGACCAGACAAAGCTCTCAGTATCTTCACTTCCCTCCTCACATCTTCAATGGCAATTGCCGTCGTCATCTACACAACAAAGCCCAAACAAAAGCAATCCAAACAAAATGAATCTGACATCAAAACTGAAATTGAAAAGCTTTGCAGGAGAGATTACACTGAATGATTCTGCAAGTACCATCAGATCTCGTCACTACAAAAAGCACGAACCTTTGCTTTGGGAATAACCTTAACAGCGACTTGTTGTCCTTTGTTATCGCCCTTCTTAAACTTAGCGGCACAAGTGTATCCGAAATGGCCGCGACCAACTTCGTCACCGAGCTCGTACCTGCTCGAGAAACTCTTTGAGAATCCGAAGCTTTTATCCAAACCCACTCCGCCTCCTTCCGCCTCGCTGCCTTCAGGGATCGCCGCCGAATTCGGCTTCACGGAGCCGTGCCGTCTCGCGAGGACAGCTCTGATGTGTTTAGCCGGTGACGGAGGAGGAAACGGCCGCTTGAAGAATCGCTTCGGCGTGGAGTTTCCGCTGGCGCTATTAGTCGCCGGAGATCTCGCCGGAGTCTTCTTGGAGAAGAAGTAGTGAGCAGGACTCGGACTGTAAAAGGGGAAAAACGGTGATTTCTTCCCCTCATTGTTAGCTACGGAGTGATCGTCGCCGTTAGGGTTTCCTCCATTAACGGAGGAGCTTGAAGAGGGAGGCGGCTTGACGGATTCTGAAGCCGGAAGGGGGCTGTTCCCTGCCGGAACTCGGTCGGAATTTGGAGAATTCGGACTAGGATGAGGTTTCGAAGTACAGAGACCCATCAAGTATCTCTCGCATCACACATATCAAAATCTCAAGAGTAACATTTTCGAATCAAAAGGATAAACAAACCCAGAAATCAAAATTCAAAATTTCAAATCTTGCAAACGAAAAAACTGAAATTTTTTTTTTGTTCTCTACTCCCAATTTTATATTTTGGGAAGTGAATTTTTTTTTTCTTTTGCTTCTTCTTCTTTGGAATTGTCTCCTTTGTCGATGGCGAAAGATTTGGATCCAAGAGAATGAGTTAAAAGAGAAACGACGATACGTTCGCTTTTTAAAAGAAATTACATTGAACAACTACTAATTACAATTAACTAGTGTTATACTACTAATTAGGAGTACTAATTACTTAATTTGTTACGCAGCTTGCGCGATACAAGTGAACTACATACATCGTAGTGTTAACAAGTTTATCTTTTTTTCTTTCTTGGTGATATAATAATAAATACATGTATATAAAAAGACAAAGACCGAACGAGAAAATAGGAGAATTCGGTGAAACTTTTTTTCCATTTTCAAATAAAGTATGAATAAATCTCACGGCGATGAATAAATAATGTATTTTGTACTTTGTAATATAGGTGAATAGAGATATTTTGGTATTATCTCAATCAAGAAAATAAAGTCTAACTAACTTCATTAAATAAAGTTTATTTGAATAAGTTATTTGGGAACAGAATTAATTGGACAATTTAATAGACATTGACAGGGTATTGTATTATTTATACTTATACAGATGCATTTAAAATCCTGCCAACTCTTGAATGTGCACAAGATTTCAATTCGGATAACCTTTTTTCAATTAACCATTTACAATTTCGTGTATGGATTAAAACTCGAACCAGCGTTTTCGATTTCCAGTTCCATTTTAGCACATAAGATATTGAGAAAATATGTGTGATCTTAAAATAGTTAACAAAGTGAAAAATAACGGAAACTGCCACGATATAAAAACAGTAATAGTATTATTTCTTTTCCTCTGTAGTAATGTTTTTTATTAAGAAAAGAAAAAGAAGAGAGAGGTGTAGGAAAATGTGATGTAATAATAATCGGAGATCGACGTAAGGAGGAATAGAGAGGTGGTGGGTAAAGTGGGACCCGTGGTGGTCCAGCTCGTTAAATAATAACAATAATACTAATAATTAATTGCAAATAGTGAAAACTACTATAGAAGTAGGTTTGTTCCTTCCTTAATTAACGCTATTGCCATTTGGATTATGTGGTGGGGTCTGTTCGATGCTTCCTTTGATACAAAAAAACTGAAAAAAGCTGGTTATGGTCATTGGTCAACGACTAACCAAATAAATATCGTTATGTAAATAACTACTACTCTTAAAAATTTGTCAATTTAAACAATGTCAGCTACGTAAAAGGCGGAATATTATGATTCGAATTCTTGAGGTTTCATGTAATTAATTAAACAAACAATACAACGTGAGATCGAAACTTATGATTATGTTATATCTCTATATGTTCGTATGAGATCAGTCATGATGAAATTTATTAGACTTTCCTTAGTTGCTGGTTGCATCCGACATGTTGAGAAGCCAATTCAAATTTTGCAGCTAGCTATCATTTTTTACCCACTTATATTCGTATTATTATATTTTCAAATGCATGCACACGTAGTGGTAAACATATTCATTATGTATTATCCTTCTGTGATAGATATGTTTGATGATTTCGTATCCCACCCTATCATTTTAATTCCTTTTAACTTATTGCACCCCCATCCACCTAAAACCCTTAATAAACAGAGTTCAAATATCAAATATGCTAATTATAGATTCGTTTTGTTGTTGGTGGTTTAAGTTTGAACGCTTGTGTTTGCGTTTATATTTTCAAATACAGTATATGTCCACTCCACTATTACATAGACCTTAATATCTTTTTAAAGTGTATTCAAAAACAACAAAATAAACCAAGGTGGTTTGCTTTTATTTAGGGAGAATTAGTGTATACAAACATAGTACAATGTGTTAACGTGTATCTAAAATTCGTAATTAGTAAAATTGTAGGATAAATATGCGATAGTAACATTTAGCAATCATCCTAAACGATTGTGATAATTGTGTGTGATATACGTGAGCAGATTGACATAGTCAATGTGATAATTAGCGACACGAGGCTTAACATCCCATGAACTTATCATTTATTTCTTTCATTAAAAAATCGTTCATAGGATATAATAATGTAAGGAAAGAAACTATTAACAAGATCCAAGAATATGAATGGACTTTCATCCTTTATTTAATTTTGTGCCTCATTAAAAGACGGGATGATAAAATAAATCTAGTCGTTATTCCACTAAAGATTCCAAAGTCAACTTCGAAAATCTTATGATATATGTGGTGCAGGAAAATTATATGTAAAGTGATATATATGGATTATGATTTATCGCATGGTGCACCGCAATGATAAATTTATAGCCACCCTTTTTATTCTCTTCTTCCACGTTCAAGATTAAATCTTACATTTTTTTTTGAAAAAGGGTTTACAAATCTTACATTTTTCTTCTTCTATCTTTTGGTCTTTTGATTTTTTTCACTAGAACGAAATTTCGTTTTGTTTTCACGATCTTGAGCTATAACATCGATATTCTCGAACGTGATTATTTGATGAACAACATCATTAACAATACATCGTTAACATGCATAATATAAATATTCTCAGAACTAGTTAATAATTTTTATTAAACGCAATTTATATTTCAGTAAGAAACTACACATTCGGGAAACTAGTCTAGACTTCAGTGAAAGAAATTAGTATATTATCGGTCAGCAAATAAAGATCCGATGGAAGAAAGCAACAACACAATACTATACTCCTAAAGTCCTAATGATGACAATCATGGAGATTAGGAAAATAACACATCTCTACTTTGTTTACTTATTTATGTTTTTTTCCAATTTTACCCCTTACACATTGCCGCCAAAAATCAGAAAGAGCTCTGGGGCCAATGGTCAAATGAACTCAACGAACCTTTCTCCCTTTTCTTTTTTGATAGCGATGGCGCCAAAATTAAAGGTGACTCAACGGGGTAATTCTGTAAATATAATGTCTCCTTCTCAATCTCCAAGAAGGTAATTTTTGATGATCCCAATGTTTTTATTGAAGAGTAGCTAGATTTAGTTTAGAGTTCAGTCAAGTTACTACTAAAACACTTCATTGTTCAATGTTTCTATTCTCAAACTCCAACACTGAATTTTTTTTTTTCTGAATACTAACACTGAATCTTATATAGAGTTTATTTGGGACACCACGATTTGGTCCCCCTCCTGAATCTGATCTCATTTCCGATATTGATTATTTTCAGTGTTCAATGTCACATAGATAGTAGTATATTCAAAAAATATATTTAATTTTCAACCGTATTTCTCTGTTACAAAAAAAATAAAAATAAAATTAGCTTATTAGTCAGACGTTTTATTATTGCATTAATCTTGTTCAGTCGGTCTTATTAATCTGTTTACGGCCAACTAAACTAGACGATTGAAAACAAAATTTGGTTTCTTTACTAGAGAATGATGACTTGTTTAGTATATTTTTAAAAAGTTTACCAGAGGCGTTAGATTCGATGTAATTACTAATTAGTGGACCATATTTCCTTTGACTGCACGAAAACAGTTGAAATTTTTATAGCAATTTACTTAATCAATCCTCCCAATTACAGGGCAACTTGGGATAACAACCTCAAAGTTTGGGGTCAAAATGCGAAAAGAAGAATAGTAATGGTGTCAAACTTAAATTACAGAAATGCTCAGTAGGAGAGAGTATTTTGCATCTAACCAGAGGTTCTGTCACCACCAAAACCGGATTGTAAGAAACCGGTTTGGTCCAAATGAGTCACATCTCCCCAAACTTGGATTGTCCATTTGTCTCCGTCGAATAAACGGAACACATTAACCGATGTATTGAGAATCTTTTCAACTTTTCGTGCACTTGGACGAGCTCTTTCGTGGAGTGATCGAATCACACCTCCATGTGTCACTACTACCACTCTCTCACCTTCCATCACCACCACAAGCAAGTAAAAACACACAACACTTAAAAGAACACATGTGTTGTTGTGTAGTAGTAATAGTAATATGATTTGTGAGAAAGAAACAAACCTTTATGTTTGTCGCCGATTCTCTGTAACGCAGATGTACATCTATCATAAAGTTTGTCAAGACTTTCTCCTCCACCCTTTCAATTCATATAAACGACCACAATTAGTTGGATTTAAGAAAACTAATCCATCATTCATATACTACACTAAGTAAGCTTCTTGGTTATGTTATAACATCATACCGGAATATCAACGTCTGTGCGGTTAGATGAAAAGGCCTTGTAAGCTTCAGGACGAATTTTGGAAGCTTCTTGATACACAAGACCTTGCATATCCCCTAAATGTCTCTCCCGTAGATCACGATCAGTAAGTACCTGCATCAACATTATGTACAGCTCAATCTCTATAAAGACAATTTTGATCAGAACTTAAGAGAAGAAAGGTGGAGACTTTCCAGAGAACAGATTCATAAAAGGAAGTGGGTTTTTTCAACAAATAGCTTGTATGTGTTCTTCAATAAAATTTGTTTAATTATACCTCAAGCTTGCCGCATTTAGCTGCAATGATCTCTGCAGTCTCAAAGGCTCTCTTCAAGTCAGAAGAGTACACATAAGATATCTCAGGCTCCTTTGATAACCTCTCAGCAACCTTTTTTATTTGTATTTCCCCAAAAGAAAGAAAGGCATCATCATCATTTTCAAAGGTTACAGAAACAATCAAAAGGCAAAATGTTGTAAGTAAAAGACACATACTTTCACTGCTTGTTGTCTTCCTGCATCGTTTAGCTCAACATCCAAATGACCCTGCAACAACAAAAAAACCAATCAACGTTCCCAAAAACTTAGAGGAATTGCGATACTAATCAATAACTAATGCAAGATGAAGATTTTTGAAATCAGGTCAATTTCGATGCCGAGGAAGATACAGCTTACAAAACCATTACGCATTTGAATTTCAAATTAAACCTGGATTTTTCTCTCTGCATTCCAAGATGTTTCTCCATGACGAACAACAACAATCTCAGTATAATCCCGATCACCGGAACTGCGAAAAAACCCAGCAAAGAGACTCCATCAGACGATCGGATCATCAAATACACACATTGATTGAAAAACAGTGCGCTGATAATCGGTGGCTAAATTTTACGTCATTATTAACATAGAAAATAAGAAACAACTAAAAGAACAGAGACGTTAAGCATACTCGAAAATTGATTCCGCCATGGGAGATTACTAAAAATCGTCAATGGCTTAGATCCGGCGACGAGAAAGAGAAATGTCTCCGGAGACGAACACCATTCGAGTACGATAATAATTTCAGCTCATTGGGCCATGGATTAGCCACGAGTGGGCCTAAACTTTTCAACCCAAGTTTATCATTACCCTAACTAAGTAATTATCGTGTAATTTTTAACACTTTTTACACGTTTATATTATTATATCAACAAATCAAACTAATGTTAATGTTTTTTTCGCAATATACCGTGACTAGACTTGTATGATTATGAATTATAAATAAAATTCCATGTCAATTATTACGGTTGATCAACTTTTAGATGTAAAAAAGAAGATTTTTTGCACTAAGAAACCACAAGAGGTTTTGAAACAGGATTGCTCAAGTAAGGGCTAAATCTCTTTTGATTTTACCTTTTGGGCTGTTCATCATCTACAAAAGCCATTCACTGGTCTCTTTATTCGTTCTATTATAAAGATTGGTTATAATTTAAAATATCAATAAAATAATTTTTTAAAAATTACCACCGAAAAAATCATAACACCGATGCAAGTATTTTTGGTCTCTAGATAAAGTTTCAAAGTTTCTCCAACGGTAAAAAATAAAAAAGAACATGATCTATGGATCCTTGTAAAAATAAGAAAAAAATAATAAGCACAAATTACCATTTGGGTAAGAAGATATATTATATGTCGTTTTCTTTTTCTCAAACGTGCAAAAGTAAAAAAGTCACTCGAGCATATGGCTTTCAACATTGCTAAAAAAAATAGCATATGGGTTTAAAATAACATCTTTATTAATTTCTTCAGTTATTTGTTTTTGTATCTTCGTTTCTAGTTCCAATTTTTCACCAATTTCTTGATCACTACTATCTTGACAAACTTAATAATATAATTAGTTTATAATTTTGGATAACTATGTATAGTTTTAAACAATATAATTAGCGAGCTATTTAATCTTTTTTATGCTAGTCATTCATATAAATCAACAAATAAAACTTATGTTAATTTGTTTTAGCTGTTTAACAAAAATAATAATATTGATTTGGTTTTCCAATTTTACCGTGACTAGACTTGAATAATAATGCATTTTTTTGCAAATTTTCAATCAAATTAAAAAAGATATAAATAATTCCATTTATGTCACTTTCATCAGGTATAAAGAGAAAGTCTGTAAAAAGATTAAAAACACATTGCATATTTTCATCGTCTTCATTCTTAATCTTTTTTACGATGATATAATCATAGTCACTTACTTTCTGCATATAGAGAAAAAACTGAATCAGATTAAAAGGCACTATAACTTGATAAAGGTGAGAGTAAAGGCTGCTATTAGAAAGAATTAATTGTATTATGTTTCTGATTATACCTCTAAAAGGCTAGTTATTTTCTGTCTTCAAGCCACACAAAAACATCTTGTATTTCTTCTGATGGTGGATAGGAAGCTCAGTGAATCACTGATAGTGATATGAACGAAGAAGATGATATCAATGAAGAAAATGGTATGAATGAAAAAGAAGCAGAAATGCAGGAAACATATTAAAGTGGCATTCAAGCGACTCAAGCACCCTATGGTCCTCGTCAATCAACTCAAGCAACACAATCGGTTCAGAGTTCACGTAAGAGGCGTTTAACTTCATCTGCTTGGAATGCATTCAAATCAGTTGGGATTGAAAGTGACGGCAAGGAGTCTTTTGTCGAATATGAGAATGAGTAGCATTATCAATGAATCTTTTGTCGAATATGAGAACGAATAGCATTGTCGAATAACTTAGTCTAATTTCAATAGGGTTAAGTACTGGTTAGTGTAGTTAGTCTGATCGTCAATCGCGAAGATGAGTTTGAGTCATTTAAGTGGACATTCGTTACATAAAAGTAAGCGAATGAGTACCATGATCAATGAATGTTGCATTTTGATAATAGAGTTGCTTCTAGAGAAATTATCATCTTAAAGCTTTTGAATCTTATCTTCTTTTTTGCAAAGCTTGAGTTTCTGTTATTTGTTTTGCAGCTTGCAAGGTAAGAGGAGATTTGCAAAGCTTGAGTTTCTGCAAGTGTCAAGAACACAAAATATCTTATTATTGCTTATTGATTTTGTTTGGATACATTGGATACAATTTGATACAATGATGGTTTTGAGAATTTTATTGCAAGTGATGTACTAGATTTTACACTCTTCTGCTTCTGTTTTTTGTTACAAAGAAAAAAAAAGTACTAGATTTTAAATGGACTAAACAGATCTGAATTACTTTAAATGGGTAGGGTCTAAATGAGTCAGAAAATAAAACAATTTAAATGGACAGAGTTTTAAATGGACAGAATATTAATGGATAGAGTATAAACGGGTCTGAGCCGCCCATATTAACATCATAATCAGTGATATGTACCTTGGACTCTTCAGTTTTAATTTCAAAGACACACTTGTAAGTACAACTTTTCATCTCATTTTCCTCGATCGTTTTTTTAAATCCTAGGTTGGAGTCATAGCTTGCAGTGGTTTCCCATCTATCAGACGCTTTATGTTACTGATTATATATTTGGTGTTATACTTGGGATGAAAGTACTCCATTCAAATCCAATCTCTTCAGCTTTATTGACAAGAACAGTTAGGATAACAGGTATGTACCTAAAGTATATTAACATATTAAGTTAACTGAATAGTCTTTAAATTTTTATACTAGCCGTTCTTCAACAAATCAAATTATTGATTTGTTTTAGCCGTTTAACAAAAAAAAAGATAATGATTTGGTTTTCCTATTATTCCGTGACTAGACTTAGAACAGTTATGCAATATAAATAGAATTTTGTGCAAATTTGGACCAATAAAAAGGATTACTGTTGTTAACTTTTGACCTCTGTACTAACTACTAAGAAACCAAGAGACTTTAGTTTCTCCGATTTGATCTATACGAACATAGCAAGGGAACAAATTGTCATAATGTATGTGACATAAAATCAGACAATGAACAAAAACTTATCAAATATCATGAACTGTGAAATGTCATTTTGACAACAGTAATCATGAAGAACTTGAAAGCAGTTCAGTATTTCACCTTTATGCTTGTTCTTTGCTGAAATCGGTCAATGGCTTAGATCCCATCGGATCCTTGGAATTGCCATTAATGGGCCTCAATTTTGAGCCCAACTTTACCATTAGCCTAAAAAATTGATTTTATATCTAGATAAATCCTTTGTATAACCGATTCACTATTATTAATTTTATAAATTTAATAGTAAAATTTAATTTATATTTTTAGATAATTAAATATGCATCCAGTAGTTTAGTAGCGACCTAATCAAGTAATCATCGTATAATTTTATATAATAAGATTCGTATATATCAACAAAACAAACTTATGTTAATTCATTTTACAATATATCGTGAATCCGTGACTAGACTTTGACTAATTATGCAATATAAATTAAATTCTGTACATCTTTTTTTTACCTAAGTACGGTTGATCAATTTTTGATCTCTGTACAAGAGAATTGCTTAGGTAAGGAATATCTTTTGAGTTTAGTTTTTAAGTTTCTCTTATTTGATTTAATTATACGAACATACCTTGTTTCATCGAAACTTTATTCTCTATCTAAAAAAACTTGTTCAAGAAAGCAGGTGATCTTCGCATATAACGTTCATCCTCTTATACGTGAGCTAGGTTTTGTTTTCATCAACATATACGAAGCTTGATTACACCGTCTCCACATTCTTATTTGTTGTTAAAATTTGTCTTTTACCGTTAGGTTTTTCACTATTTCGTAACCACGATTAATTAAGCACAACACCATCGCGACTCTGGCTGGTTGATCTCATTATTATTGTTATTTTTACCGTGGTTAATCTCACTAATTACCATGCAGAAGAATTCACGATTTTTTCCTTTTCCCGTTTCACTATTCCATATAGAATTCTCAGTTGGATTCCGTTTGAAATTGGGGAAAATAAGATTGGAAGAGAACTTGATTTCTGTTTGTTTCGGTTTTTATGTCTATGTATATAGTTCCATAGCCGAGAACATAAACTTTCCTAGGTCCATTTATTTATACGATCCATATTTACTTGAACTTGCATAAACCAAACAAGAACAACATAATTCATCTTTTTCGTCCACAATGTTTTTTTCTTTCTTTGAAACACTAATAATTTGATTTTGATCTTGATAACTTTTTTTGGTCGATCGTATCCACTTTTTGTTACTGATCATATATAACCTAATTGCAGCTCAAGAACATAAAACTTTCCTCAACACGTATATTTTCTGCGATCCTCATTTACTTGATTTCAAGAACCTTTTTTTTTTTTTTGCTGAATGATTTCAAGAACTTACATATATTATTTTCATCTTCTTCTTTGACAGATTCATTTTATAACATGGAAAAAATGCCGACACCATGCGCGGCTTGCAAGTACCTACGGAGAAAATGCATACAAGACTGCGTGTTCGCGCCTTACTTCCCCGCGAACAGACAGGAAAAGTACACAGCGGTCCACAAGGTTTTCGGAGCAAGCCACGTGGCTGCAATCCTCAAGGAACTTCACCCAAGCCAGAGAGAAGATGCCATGAACTCACTCGCTTTCGAGGCACAAGCTCGTCTCCTTGACCCGGTCTATGGCTGCACTCGTCTCATTTACAACCTCCAACTCCAGCTTAAATACATCGAGGAACAAATCCAAATCGCAAGGAACGAGCTCGCCTCTTACACTACCGTCCAGTCGCTAGAGACACCTCCTCCCATTACGTATCAGCAAAACCATCACAATCCTAGGATGATGCCTATGGCGGCTAATAATTATGGCAATCAAATAACGTCTCAACAACAGTTGCGACAGTTAC